ACTCACTATTTGCATGTGTTGAAAACGTTCGTCAGATAAAAAGAAGTGTAATTTTCGTGTGTAAATAACTTTACATATGATCTCTTACACATTGAACACTTAATTGGAAAAAACAACCTCAAATCTGTCGACAGAACTGAACGACTGAAAGAGTGCGTAATTTACACAAATCGATTTTGTTCACTATAAACAATGCAGATAAAAATAAATTAGAGCCAACTACAGAGGGAGGTTCATTCTTTTTGCATAGCCTTGCCAACAGTTCTCAGCTTGATGTCAGTTTTCTCTGTCTACATAATCCCTCTTAACCGCGTTTCCAACCGATCCTGTGGCGTTGCCTGGGATTTACTTTCTCAAGACTTTGTCAACCTAATCCGTCTTGCTAACAATTCCGCGTGGTTCACACCCATTGGATGGTGCATTTTTCTTTGTTTTTTTTTTATAAATAAAGTTCTTGTGGTTCAATGCATTCTCCGCATGATGAATATTCTGAAATTCGGTCTGATGCATCCACTGAACATAATGATCGGATTTCGCTCTGAACGTTTGAATGATCCGTTGCTTAACCCCGATTGTGACCAATGATGACAAGGTTCGGAGAGACCTACTACAGAATCTTCAATCCTGGCATTAATCCATTTCCGTTACCTATAATATTCCCGCCATGACGCAAGAGCTCAAACCGGTAAAAAACCATACAATAAATGACACCAAAACACACGATCCGGAAAACGTTTGAAAATGTGAAAAGTTCAGTAGCTCTGGGAGGATTTGGACCTATCTAAAGACGCCGCCCACGCTTTTGTTGTACAAGGCATCCTCTTCCAGCTGAACCATGAGGTCGCACAGACAACATCCAGAAATGACTGGTCCCAAAGTCCTGATTTAACCACTACACTTCAACAACCGACCTCAGACCATTCCCGGTCCCACAGATTTAATGAAGTTACAAAGACGGATGCCGGTCACAAACGCACACTGTAATCTAGATTGACCAGTATTTCCCTCTTGTTCGTTCTGAGGAGACCATTTTCTCGAGGATATAATGGATACGCGCAATAGGAAAGTAAATGATACCAATCTGTAGAACAAGCATCCTAGATATGGAACTCACTAGGAATTACCGAGCACGCGATTCCACCACTTCCCATTTGCACATATTCTATTCCCCGATTAGAAACGATAAGGGGAATGGTTTCTGTATCCTTTACTGCACACATGTTTCATCTGAAATTAGACATTATTTTCTGACCCCCACTGAAAAGTGAATCCGAGACCATTAGGTGAGAGCAAACGTAAAGAGAACAATGTCCTAACCTGTTCGGTCACTCCTCCCATCCCATTCGCATTCGCATCAATACACACACACACACACACACACATACATACACAGATCGGATTCGTAGATAAACCGATTAGACACGGTGGATCCCATTGCAAGTG